TTGATTGTATATATATGCAGAAAAAAAGTACTTCATGTAGTACACACGCGTTTTATTAAAATTGCGCGCAAGCTTAATCAAAACATGTGTGCCTGGCTGTCACTCCCACAAACTGCAGCAGGAGGACAGATTATATCTGTTTACATCAAGAGGCAGACGATATGATGAGACAGTGGAATGTGACTGCTGTGACGACCCCTCCGCTCCACTAGTTGTCCCTGCCTTTAGCTGCTGTTCTTTCTCTTGCAGGACTCCGCAGGGCGGAGGGTCATCAGCCCGGTGAGCAACACCTGGGCCCGGTGTGTGTCTCTGTCAAAAGCTCCCTCCTGCCTGTCTCTGGTCTGATCGGAGCATGGGCACGGCTGCTGCTGCTGTTTTCTTCTTCTGTTTGTTCCATACATTTCCACACATGCTTACACTACTGACTACTTAAGAGCTACAAATTTGCCGTCTTAAAACAGACGTTGAATTAGACGTTTTGGTCCATTCGGCGTTCCACAGTGCACGGCCGTAGTAAGTCGCACTTGTGCTGTCACGCCGTCTTGTTCAAACAGTGTGACGTTCGCAGCAATAAAGAGTACAGATTCCGGTAGAGATGACTTCAGGGTTATAAAAGGCGTGCTCATTTCAATAAAATGCGCGTACAAATTGTAAAACGCGTGCACGTGTAAAAAAAATAACATATGCATGTCACCTCTCGGTCTCCATGGAAACACGATGGAGATTTTCAAGACCTAACCATGCTGTCAGAGAGCCCTTTACTGATGCAGTTACATGATGCTCTCTTAAAAGCAACCAGACTCCACTGAAAGAATCAGTAATTTCACCTCACAGAACACAATGACTCTCTGGTCTTCAGCTGCCCTTCGATTGGACAGTTAGTTTGTGTTTTTGTGTGACTTTTGGAACCGACCTAACCATGCCTGTTCTCTTTTCTGCTTCTCCAAGCTGGGAGAGTAAAGCTGATAGCACACAATTCCCAATGAAGACTGAGTCATGAAGATCACTCAGCGATGTTTACATTTTATTTTTTTTATAAATTTACATAAATGTCTGAAAAATTATTTTCTCTTCATTCACATAATTATGAGCGATTTTGTACAAATTTCTTAAAAGAAAACTATGTTCAAATCAGTTTTACAATTTAGCAGCCAGAGTAGCTCTCCTGCTCTGGATCCAAGTACAGCAAAGAGCCACAGTGCTACATGCCCTGCCCTGACAAGCAGCAAAAGTCCAGTCACCACCGGATAACAGGTTTTGACCCAGCTTGGCTGTCAGAGGGGAAAAACTCCCCCTGGCTGTACAAGACTGATATTGGTCAGTAAGTAAGTAAGTAAATACATACATTTTATAACATACAAACATAACTGTTTGGGTCTATGTCAGTCATGAGTCTTTTTAAAATCTTATACCAAATAGATTTTTTTTTCAGACTGAACAGCTGAATCACTTTTCTCCCTCATGAATTTTCATGTGTGTATGTAAATATCCATTTTGTATAAATGACTTCCCACATTCAGATCAGCTAAATTGTTTCTCTCCTGTATGACATCTCATGTGTCTTTTTAGATTTCCATTTAGACCAAATCTCTTCCCACACTCAGAGCAGCTAAACTGTTTCTCTCCTGTATGACATCTCATGTGTACCTTCAGATTTCCATTTTTACCAAATCTCTTCCCACACTCAGTGCAGCTAAATGGTTTCTCTCCTGTATGAGATCTGATGTGTCTCTTTAGATCTCCACTTTGACTAAAGCTTTTCCCGCACTCAGAGCAGCTAAATAGTTTCTCTCCTGTGTGAGTCCTTATGTGTTTCTTCAAATCTCCACTGTGAACAAATTTTTTCCCACACTCAGAACAGCTAAATGGTTTCTCTCCTGTATGAGATCTCATGTGAACCTTCAGATGTTCACTTCGACCATATGTTTTCCCACACTCAGAGCAGCTAAATAATTTCTCTCCTGTGTGAGTTCTCATGTGTTTTTTCAAATCTCCCCTGTGACCAAATCTTTTCCCACACTCAGAACAGCTAAATGGTTTCTCTCCTGTATGAGATCTCATGTGTACCTTTAGATCTCTACTGTAACAAAAGCTTTTCCCACACACAGAGCAGCTAAATGGTTTCTCTCCTGTGTGAGTTCTCATGTGATTCTTCAAATCTACACTGTAACCAAATCTTTTCCCACACTCAGAGCAGCTAAATAGTTTCTCTACTGTGTGAGTTTTCATGTGATTCTTCAACACTCCACTGTAACCAAATCTTTTCCCACACTCACAGCAGCTAAATGGTTTCTCTCCTGTATGAGATCTCATGTGTACCTTCAGATGTGCACTTCGACCATATGTTCTCCCACATTCAGAACAGCTAAATGGTTTCTCTCCTGTGTGAGATCTCATGTGTTTCTTCAAATCTCTACTGTGACCAAATCTTTTCCCACACTCAGAGCAGCTAAATCGTTTCTCACCAACAATCAAATCACTGACAGAGACTTGATCATTTCTCAGAGAGTTTGAACCTGACTGAGGTTCTCTGGTCTCCGTCCAATCATCACTGTCATCAGCCTCTGGTTGTAAATGCGTAACTGGATCTGAGTTCCTGGCTGGTTCTGCTCCTCCACAGTCCTCTCCCTCTGCTTCTGTTTCCAACTGTTCAGTGTGTCTTTGATGAAGCTGTGAGGACTGAGGTTTCTCTTCATCATCTTCACTCTTCACAGGGACAGGAGTGAATGTGAACTTGGTGATATCATCCTCCTCCAGCCCTTGAAGCTGCTCTCCCTCCTGACTGATCCAGAGATCATCCTGTTCCAATTTAATGTGTGGAAGCACTGGGTCCTCCTGGACCACACTGGAGCTCCACTCCTGCTGCTCAGGGGGAACCTCTTCTTGAACCACCGACAGCTGCTGGACGTCTGCAGGAAACAGTAAACACACACACACACACACGCACACACACACACAGATGTTACAGAGAAATGGTGTCGTTCTTTCACATCACAGCTCAAAAACTCCTTATTGAACTTCTACAGATCTCTGAGCATCAAACAGCTTCACAGTGTTCACTCAGCTGTGTCAGAGTGAGTAAGGTTGAGGTGAGCTTTAATTTCATAGCAATCATTAACATGTACTGTTACTCTTGTCATGTCTGGAGGCTACAGTGTGGCTCTTTATTTACTCAAACTAAATGAATTATGTGAGAATGATTGTCCATGGGATGCGAGAGTTTGCTGTGAGTCATGTTTGATTACTGGCAGCCTGAGTAAATAAGATGCTGTTAGTACATCAACTCAAGTACTACTGCAGTACAAATTTGAGAGTGAGGCAGAGCCGATTAGGACTGGGTATCGCCACTGATTTCCTGAAACGATCCGATTTCGATTCAAGGGGTCTAGATCCAATATCGATTTGACTGGAGATTTTTCAGTTACAAGACCAGTCCCTCCAGGATCTCGTGACAGAAAAACCTTGAATTTGCGACAAATTTTGTCAAAAAATTGCGATAAAATTGCAGGAAATGACAAAAATTTAAAGTCAGGAGAAAAAAAAAAGTAAACTACTGCCTCCAAAAAATAAGTCATGTAATCACTAGACTCACAAGTCAGTTGAGACGCTTTGCTTAACTAAAGACTGATGTCTTTCTCCCTGGTTCTGTGTTTAGATGGGCGGATACAATTTCAGAGTTTAAAAAAACTCCCTACGTTGCAGAACCAATAGTAAATCTGCAGGGTGGTCCTTCGGTGGCTCGCTGAACTCTTGTGCTTGTAAACATAGTCCGACTGAGTTAAAATTTTTAAACAAAGTCATTGTAAGTCCTTCATTTCCACAATCTTGTGGACGGAGCACATGTTTGATAAAACAGAGTTAAATCTCTCAGCATTCATTTTCAAGCTCTCTGTGTGTTTGTTACCTTGCGGATGGGAAAAGGGGGAGTGCACATTTCCGGGAGGGCATGTCCTTTTCAAAAATGCAAGAGGCGTTGCTTTGTTGCCGGCCGTTTTCTCTCGAGTGTTAAAGACACTTTAGAAAGGAGTGTCCCCAGACTATCAGAAGGCGGAGATCTCTGATTGTCTGGTGGCGAGTCTATGTAATCACTTGCTATAATAATCATACTGAATATTACAAAAACAGCTGAAAATGTTTCAGTTCTTTTGTTTAGTTTTATTTAATTAGTTTCAAAACATGGACTCCGACAATGTTGCAAAAATACAGAGAATACTGTAGCCCTCAAACCAGACAGTGTGACTGTAAAACAACATGTAAGCTACATCTTCTGTAAACATAACATCTCAATAAATTCAACACATATTGTCTGCATATGTCCATGTCCATACAGAGAGTTTCTCCATACTGCAATGCTATTAGCGCATTTGATGATGCGTCTGATGACGTTTCAAATGACGTCGCAGTTGCAACGACTTTCGGTCAGCCGTAAAATACAGGAAAAATGTGGAAAAACTGCGGGACTTTTGAAAAATTGCAAGCCCCGCCAATATTGAGGACTTTTTGTTTAATTTGCGTTAATTATTGCAGTCGCAAGATGGCAATTTTCTGGAGGGACTGCAATACCAATTTTTGCTAGTATGTGAAAGAGATTCTCAGAGAACTAATCGTGTAACATTTACAAGGAATTATTTTTTTTAAAAAGAAAAAATTCACAATAGGAATAAAACTGAATATTTCATAATTAAATGTTGTTTCTGGAACAGCAACAGTAATATTAAAACAGCAAAGTCACAATACAAACTTAATATCTCACTGGAAGATGAGTCATTGCCTGCAGGTCACATCACCACCGTTAAGTTTTAAGATACAAGACAAACTGAGCTAAACCCTTTGACATCAACAGTTGTTGCTTCAGCTTATTAGTAACAACTTGTTCTTAGATGGAAGGCGCTCTGTGCTTGTTTAAAACATATTATTGGTGGTGGTGGATGAGAGCCTGCAGACAGAGCAGACTGAAATATCACGTTTCTACATGTTTACATGTTGCTGATCGCCTGTATTGATAAAGTATTGACTTTTTCCTCGAGCAGGTTTTATTGCACGCACAGTAACAAGTGTAGTTGTCATCAGCTCAAGTTATCTTCACCTCTCTGTCTCCACCGCGGCATCTTTACTCTGTGATTGTGTGTCTGTGTGCGTAAAAGTGGCGCGGCAACTGAGGTGTTTAAGGTTCTGAAAAGAGCTAAAAAAAAAAAAAAAATGTAGAAATATACGCACATCACTTAGTTTGGGAGCTCGGCTGAATAAAAAACTTTAGAAAAAAGAGAGAAAGCCCACATACTCTCTTTATGCTGCAAAAAACTTTACTAGTTAGACAACGTTGCGAGCATGTCAGCTCTTCATCATCTTACAAGTAATGTGTTTTTCACCCATATATGTAGACACCCACTGGTGACGTCATAAATCCTGGGTAGTCATTCACAAAAATATTTACACACATTATACTTAGGCTCTTGTAAACATACACAATTGATCAATGATGATAACTATATCAAAAATATATTAGGCAACATCAGGTTAAAATATAATACATATATCACATCAGGTGTTAACAATTATCAACTACAGAAAATGATGAATGGGGAAATCCTCGTTCATGCCTTTGGGGGACAGGGTGTCCAATGTAAAAATCCAAAAGGATTCTTTTTGTAACAACAGTCTGTTTGTGTCTCCTCCACGTCTCGGACGTTTTACGTGTTCATTTCCTTGGTATGTGAGAGATACCACGCTGTGTTTCGCCTGCAGAAAATGCATAGCCACTGGACTCTTGGAGTCCTGATTGCGTATGCTGCATCTGTGTTCTGCGATGTGTGTTTTTAATGCTCGATTAGTTTTCCCCACATATCCCAAACCACATGGACATATAAGCAAGTATACTACATTAGTAGTGGCGCACGTGATAATGCCTTTAATGTCAAAATGCTTCCCTGTGAGGGGATGCGTAAAAGTGTGGCTCTTCGTGGTGAACTTATACTGCGCGCAACTTGCACATCTGTAATTTCCATCTGGAACACATCTGAAAAAAAGTTTCTTGTCTTTGGGGGAGAAGATCTGATTTTACAACAATTTGTCTGATGTTAGGGGGGCGTTTGTATACCACTCTGGGCATGTCTTTGAATGTTGTGGATAACTTTGGATCACTGCTCAGGAGATACCAATGTTAAGTTCTGAAAAGAGCTAACCCATGGAAAGCAGCTGGCCCTGACAACATCCCCGGCTGTGTCCTGAGGGTCTGCTCTTCAGAGCTGGCTGAGGTCTTTACAGACATTTTCAATCTGTCCCTCTCCCAGTCATCTGTGCCTACATGCTTAAAGTTCACCACAATAGTGCCCATCCCCAAGAAAAACAGTA